CTCCAGATTTAATTAAACAAATCTTAAAAAAATTCAAACAAAAGAGAAGTCCAACAACTAGGCATACATACACACTCACAGTTTGAACATAAAATCCCATGAAAAGCCCTTGATTGGCCTAACTTAGGTCACGTGCCTATCTTTGCACAAATCACGGTAGCCAGAGGCTTCAGTCATGTGCCCAAGTTCTGGATGCTGGGGTAAATTCTCATTGTTAGAGGCTAATTATAATTAGTCTTTTACCAAAATAGAAGAAGAAATGTCACCATATAAAGACAGATGTCTATTTATATGTATAACTCATATTTTAACATTTTTTTTTTTATAGACAGAAAGAATTTACTTTCAGGTTTTCTTACCTAAGGGGAGCAAGGAGAAAAGCAAACCAATGTTTTTTTGCCACCGATGGAGCATTGGAAAAGCCATAGACTTTGCAGCTTCTTTAGCCAGCCTTAAAAATGATAATAACAAGTCAACAGCTAAGGTAACACTAGTTACAATAATTTTTACCCTTTTAAGTTAAAGAAAACTCTATACAGGCATGTTTGCTTATTACAGTATGATTTGTTTCTCTTTTAACAGAAATTAAGGTTATGTCACATTACTTCAGGAGAAGCCTTACCCTTGGAAAACCTTTTGGAAACATGGATTGCTAAGGAAGATTGTCCTTTATATAATGGTGGAAATATTATTTTGGAATATCTTGATGATGAAGAACAATTTTTAAAAAATGTTGATTCTTACTTGGAATAGTCATTCGAGGATTCGAGACAGAAATCATAAGGAAAATTCTATACATAGATTTAAGTCATTTTGTACAATAAAAATCCTATATATTTTATTTTGTCTTTAAATTTGCTTTTTAATTTATTTTCATTATGTCATTATTTGCTTTATCAACTTTTTAAATTAAATTTAGCTTGAGTTTTTGTGTTTTAAAGTTGAACTGTGAACTGATCTTCAATTATCAGCAAAGTTATGTATTTAATCAACTTTTACTTTGCATAGTACCAACAGCAAGATGTATTTTTCATTTAGCTAATGTCACTTGGTACATGTGATTCTGTTCTGTGTCTTCTTCACTCCAGGATCTTGTCAGAGGGAGCAGGAGATGGCAGGCATGGGTTGGCTCTTTGAAGATACATGTATCACTATTGCTTTAAGCAAATCACATGACCAAATTTAACATCATAGGGCCAGGAAGTAGAGACTTACTATCTAACTAAATCACAGTGTATAAATTGAGGTGCATATGTGAATCATAGAGACTTAGAGATCATCTCATTCAGTTTTTTCAGATTTTGGATAAGGAATCCAAGGCCCAGGAAGGAGAAATGGTCATTTTCACTGTCACCTAACTATTTTCAGGGCATATTTCTGATGAAGAGCCTCCTCCAGTGGGGTTCACCTTGTTGTTAATATAATACAATTCAGAAGAAGAATAAGATAGGCCAACTTAACTGCAGTCTCTTTATTGATACAAAAGCAAAACACAGGACAAAATCAACTACATTTTACTAAACATTCAAGTTAATGTTCCTGACCAATGTATTTCATTTATACCCAATAAAGTCCTACTATCTAGAAGGAATAGAAATTATTTCTAATCTTACTCTTTGTCCCTTTTCTGTTACAATTGTCATGGAGATGTATAGTGGCTTTAGCTTAATTCAAAGAACAAACTCACAGTGCTCATTTATCTATTTTATTTCTAATCTGCTTTCTCCACATTGTTTTCATGTGAGAAGTAGACATAACTTCCAACTTTTACCAGCCACTTATACATTCATACATTGATGTAGCTACCAGAGTACCTATTAATGCAAGTATTTGTTTCTAATTGCTATGGTGGATACAATAAGGAAACGTATATACATATAACTATAGAAGTAGTGCAACAGTACCAATGCATGGTACAGACAGTAATTAAAATTGTTACAAAAAACGTTTTTCAGAAACTATCAAGCCAGAGGTAGAAATGAGCCTTAAATATATTTCCAGATACCAGAGGATTTTAACATAAACTGTATGTGAGCATCTATCACGATAGCTTGCACGCATTAGATAATCAGACATCTCTCATGAATTGAACTAAAGTTAATGTGCTAGAAACAGTTAACTCTGGGAAAGAGGGAGAGGAGATAAAGCTGCAGGGATTTAGTTAAACCTAGAGGGAATGAGGAAGAGGCCTTGTAATATTGGACAGAAAAGAGGGTCGGTTAGGGTGAGTGTCAGACAGTGGCGTAAAATAGTCTGGAAGAGACATAGGTGCTAACACTTTTCAAGGTGCTAGGGACTGGGACTCCACTTGAGCAGGATTCTAAAGAGAACAGGGTTGTAGGTATACCTCCAGCCGCCCAGGTCCAAATTACTGGCAGACAACTTTCTCAGGCTTTCTTTTAGGGCTTCTAGTTGAGTATGAAATATTGGGGTTTCATTGTGCTATCCCACCCCAGTATCTTTTTACCTGCATGCCCCCCCCCAAAAAAAAAAAAAAACCAAACCCGTTACCATCCCAACTCATAGCTATCAGATTGTTGTTGTTTGCCGTCAAGTTGCCCCGACTCATAGTGACCCCTCCTTGGGTTTCCGAGGCAGTATCACTACAGAAGTAGGATTGCCCAACCTTCCTTCCGAGGAGTGGCTGGTGGGTTTGAACCGCCATCCTTCTGGTTAGCAGGCAAGTGCTTTAGCCACTATGCTACCAGAGCTCCTAGCTATCAGATACTACCTCGGAAACACAAGGAGGGGTTGCTATGAGTCCGGACCGACTCGTCAGCAAACAACAACAAACCAAAAATAACAAACTCACTGCCATTGAGTTGATTCTGACTCATAGTGACCCCCTTTGAGTTTCCAAGGTGGTAAATCTTTACAGAAGTAGATTGCCCGGTCTTCCTTTCACAGAGTGGCTGGTGAGTTTGAATCGCCAGCCTTCTGGTTAGCAGTCAAATGCCTTAGGCACTATGCCACCAGAACTCCTTATACCGACCATATAGGACAATAGAACTTCCTCATACTGTTTCCGAGGCTTAACAGAAGCAGACTGCCACATCGTTCTCCCATGTAGTGGCTAATGGATTAGAACCCCTGACCTTTTGGTTCAAAGCTGAGTGTTTTAACGACTGTGCCAGAGCCCACTTCCACCTGCATGCAGACTCCTAAAATTATACGTAGAAAACCTGCAAGTAGAAAAAAAAAAAGGGGGTTTTAAATTTAGCTAAATAGATGAAAGAACACTATGACATAAATGAACTTCAATTTTAATGTAATTGGGCCATAAATACATATAAATAATAGCTTATCAGATTTTTTCCCCAGATTTCTCAATTTTTTCTCCCAATCTTCAGATAAGGAGAAGGCTTGGACAACAGAAGACGGGAAGAAAATGCTGCAACAAAAAAATACTTGGTCACATAACTGTAAAGATAGCTTTGATTTCATAACATTTTTTGTTTTTATTTATTTATTTATTTTTAAAACGGAAATTTCCCTAGGAATTTAACTGAGATACCACAGAAACAAATTAATTCCATTCCCTTATTCCCAGCGTTGGTACAATGTATCTTGTTTTTCTTAGTGTGGTATATGGAAATAAAATTTAAGAAATCTAGAGTCTACTGAGTCTGAAAAATTAACCTACATAAACAAAAAAATTTTCAAAACTTCATCAGGATGAACAAGTATTTTATGATCTGAAATACTTAATACAAATCGTTAACTGATATAGATTGGGACGTGATTACATGACGGGTCTGCTGAGATGAACATATATTCAGAACTACTGGATCCACAGGCTGAATAGAAAACAGTTATAGTTTGTCTTTTTTTTTTTTTTTTTTTTTGATGCTTAGCCTCAGGACCCCCACCCCTTGTTTGGGAAACACACCATTGTGTGAGTCTGTGAGCTACCCAATAACCACTCAATAAATTATTTTTCTACTTAAGAAACACCAAAAGCAGTTTCAGTGGTACTATAGAATTGTAGGAAAACTATTGAGGATGTTGCCAAGGTCAGTTTTTTGTGGGCCCAGCAATTAGAATTCTAAGTAATGATTAAAAAGCACCAGAGTAAGTTCCAGGAAATTGGAGACCTCATCTAGCTTGGCTACTGTGGCATACCCAGCCCCTAGCTCTTAAACTCAAACTCATTGCCGTGGGGTTGATCCTAACTCATAGCGACCCCCTGCTTGGGTTTCTGAGACGGTTTATCTACAGAACTAGATTGCCCAGTCTTCCTTCCGAGGAGGGGCTGGTGGGTTTGAACTGCCAACCTTCTGGTTAGCAGTCAAGCCTTGGGCACTATGCCACCAGAGCTGTGCTGAGGAAATATTCAGCAAATTTTGATATGAATGAATAATAACATCTAATAATAAACATAATAATAATAACATCTGCCTCAACATGCCTCCTCAATATCTGCTTTAGAGTTTGCATCCTGGCAGCTGTTAGTGTAGCTTTTTCTTAGGAAGGGAGAAAATTAAAAAATGATGGCAGTACACTTTTTTTTTTTTTTTTTTTTAATTGTGATTTTGGTGCAAATTTACAAAGCAGATTCGTTCTACTCTCAGCAGTTCATATACATTTTGTCTCAGGGCACCCATTATAATCCCTTTCCTGTGTCCTTATCTGTGTGTTCCTGTCTGTCTGCTTTCACCCTATGCAAATGCTGCCCCTCTGCTCTGCAGGGTTGATTGATCTAAGGGGTGCATCTCCCTGGGGTAGGTGGGGGCATCTGCCTGGTGTAGGTGGACACTAAGCGCAGGTAAATAGCAGGCTGTTTTCTCATTGGCAGAAATGAGGAAGTTGGGAGGAAGGAGATTAGGTTTCTTTTGTGATAAATTGAACCTGTTAAATACCAGTGTTTTTAAATGTTCATAGTTACAGGTTAAACAGGTTGTGTCCCTCACTAGATCACTTTAAAAAGTACAAGTCCCTCCTACTGAACTTTGATCCAGCACAAACAGAGGTTAACCAACTAATGCCACAGCAGATGGAATACCTGTGAGAAGAATGTTCTTTAGTGTTTTTAAACTGGTTTTGCATCTAAGATTTAGTTAAGCTTTCAAAATGATCAGAAAACTTTTTATTGTCTTGCTTTTGTTATTTGTGACTCTGGAAGAAGCGGAGAAATCATTGATCAGTTTTTTGAACATAGGAAAGACTGAAACACTATTTTTCACAAAGACTGAAGAAACCATCATTGTAAGGTCAAGTTACAAAGAAAAATGGCCAAACTCCAGCTACCTCTTTGTGCTATCAGAAGATCCTAAAGTGCTGCAAGTGGTGGATGTGACCAAAATCTCATTGGATGTTACAAACTTTACCATAAACTTAGTGACAGTTGAAGAAGGAGAGACAAATTTGACCATTCAACTATGGGATTCTGAAGGTAAGCAAGAAAGACTCATTGAAGAAATTAAGAATGTCAAAGTCAAGGTACTCAAACAAAGAAAAAACAACCCTTTCCAGGCAGCAATGCATTTTGATAGGAATATCCTCATGCTTATTCTGCCAATGATACTGCTAAATAAATGTGCATTTGGTTGCAAGATTGAACTGCAGGTGCTTCAAACAGTATGGAAGAGACCTTTGCCAGTAATTCTTGGGGCAGTTACACAGTTTTTTCTGATGCCATTTTGTGGATTTCTTTTGACCCAGATTTTAGCATTGCCTGAGGCTCAGGCTTTTGGATTTGTAATGACCTGTACATGCCCAGGAGGGGGTGGGGGCTATCTCTTCTCTCTGCTTCTAGACGGAGATATCACTTTGGCCATTTTAATGACTTGCATATCAACATTTTTGGCCCTGATAATGATGCCTGTCAATTCTTACATATACAGTACGATGTTAGGGTTATCAGGTACATTTCATATTCCTTTTTCTAAAGTTATGTCAACACTCCTTTTCATACTTACACCGATATCAGTTGGGATAATCATCAAGCGTAGAATACCTGAAAAAGCAAACTTCCTAGAGAGAATAATCAGACCTGTGAGTTTTATTTTAATGTCTCTTGGGATTTATTTAACATTCAGAATGGGATTAATGTTTTTAAAAACAATTAACCTAGAGGTACTTCTGTTGAGTCTCTTAGTTCCTGCTTTGGGTTTGTTGTTTGGGTACTCCTTTGCTAAGATTTGTATGCTACCACTTCCTGTGTGTAAAACTGTTGCTCTTGAAAGTGGGATACTAAATAGTTTCTTAGCTCTTGCCATTATTCAGCTCTCTTTTTCACAGCCCCAGGCAGATATAGCTTCTGTGGCTCCTTTTACAGTAGCCATGTGTTCTGGGTGTGAAATGTTACTGATCCTTCTAGTCTACAAGGCTAAGAAAACATGGCTCCTTACCATAGAAGATAAAAGAAAAAAAAATCCCCTAGTTTAACAATGAAAGAATTACTGAATTCCTACTCTGGGCAAGATTAAAAGAGTAAATAAAATGAGGCCTTCTCTCAAGCCTCTTAAAATCTGATTGAAAATTTGACATTAGGTAGAAAATTATATATTTGTTATAAAGCTAAGGTCCCCATGAATGGTACGGACAGTTAAATGTACAGAAGTTCAGAGGAAGGAGGCACCTTTGGGAATGTTTTATAGAATAGGATTTGAATATGATACTTTATTATCATCTCTTAAACAGGAAAGAACAACAACAAAAACCTCTTCCTTGTCATGATTACAATATACCTTAAGTATTCAAGGAAAGGGTGTCCACATAATAATAGACATTCAGTAAATGCTCACTCAGTGAATACATAGGTGAATTACTGTTTGCATTTCTCATTTTCTCATCAGAACTAATGTGTCTTAAACTAAATATGGCAGCTCTACTGTCATAACTCTGCTTCCTCCTATCCTCCACATCTCCCACTAGAGAAATTACAATTTATGCTGAAACCTGGCATCATCTCTTCGCTCTCTTCTTTCTTCCTTTTTCTTTCTTTGTATTCAACCTATTCCCTACAGAAAATGTCTTATAATATCTCTTTATCAGTCTCCGCTCCATTCCCAGCCCACTACTTTTGTTCTGCCCTATAATGCTTCTTCCCTAAGCCTGTCTAACTAACTTTTTTATTTTTTTAAATTTTATTTTGATTTGGGTGAAGATTTACAGAGTAAATTCACTTTTCATACAGCAGTTCACATATACTTTGTCTCATGTCATTGACCAAAATTTACAATGCAACAGCTCCCCTCCCACTTCCTCCCCATAGTTACCTCCTCCCAGTGTCCATACTCTTCTGCACCCTGAGCTATCTCCCTGTGCATAAGCAGCCCTTCCTTCTCCCATGATTGTTCTCTCCAGGGCGTGTGTCTACTTGAGGTAAATGTTTAACTCACATGCCTGTACTTTGTTTGGCTGGAAACCACAGGTGTGGGTTCAATTCCAGACCTGAACGGCAGCTAGGGGCCATAGTCTCAGTGGTTCCACCAGGCTCTATTGGACCAGCAAACCTGGTCCTCACCTTCTTTTTTTTTTTTTGCCTCCAAATGATTTTGAGTTTTTTTCCACATTGTTCTCCCTCTCTATGCAGGATCTCCTACATCCCTTCCAAGTGGAGGACAGTGGTAGCCGGGCACCATCTAGTTCTTCTGGTCTCATAGTTGTATAGGTTGCAGATCGGATGGTGTACCAGTCGCTAGGACTGATTGTTTCCATTAATTTTGGTTTTCTTCTTTCTTCTTGACGAGGAGAGACCCGTTGTTGCATCTAGATGGCAGCTTGCTAGCTTTTAAGATCCCAGTCGCTACTCGCCAAAGTCGGAGGTGGAACAATGTTTTGTATAGTATGTTATGCCAATTGAGCTTGATGTCCCCTGCAACTATGGTCCCAAGCCCGCAGGATCAACTGCTCGGTCCCTCTGGGTAGCTGGCTGTGACCAAGCAATGACCATAACCTTGCCCCTTGTCAGCTCTACTATACACCTGGGAATTCTGATCATTCACATGAACTTATAGGCCCATTGTCTGCCAACCCTATATATATGATCTTGGATACACTCCCCATTTAGACATACCTAATTGTTTAGCTTGTTCACCTATCTATCTGTCCATATACCCATGTTTGCTTTCACTGACAACTCAGTACTGTATATGCAAAAGGGTTCATATTTGTTGTCTGTACTGCCCATGTACCTCTGTATGTCTTTCTCATCCTCAATGCTGCCATATTGGTCACTCACATTTGGTACACTGCCCTTCTCTTCACCCAAATCAATATTTATCTCTATCTATCTAACAGCTGGGAGCTCTGGTAGCATAGTGGCTAAGGCACTTGACTGCTAACCAGAAGGCTGACGGTTCAAACCCACCAGCCACTCCTCGGAAGGAAGGTTGGGCAATCCTACTTCCGTAGTGATACTGCCTCGGAAACCCAAGGAGGGGTCGTTATGAGTCGGGTCCGACTCGACGGCACATAACAACAACAACAACATCTAACAGCTGTCTAACTAACTTTTGGTCTCTCATTCCACCCTACAACCACTGTCAGATTAATCTTCCTAAAGTCTAACTTTGACCCTGTAATTTCCCTGGTACAAAATTTTTTCTTCTTTTGAATTAAGTCTGTATTCCTTAAAGCAACCATTGTCATGGATTTGGATCTGACTTGGGTTTCCGAGATGGTATCACTGCAGAAGTCAATTGCCCAACCTTCCTTCCCAGGAGTGGCTGGTGGGTTTGAACAGCCAGCCTTCTGGTTAGCAGTCAAGTGCCTTAGGCACTACGCCACCAGAGCTCCTCCATTTCTTTATACACAGTCTTTACTCCAAGCAGCAGGATGACTAGCTATCTCATAAATATACTATCTATGCTGCTCCTGCTACCCCAGGGCCCCACCCCATCTCTATTTAAATTTTAACTGTTTTAGAGAACTGGCTCAAATATCACACTTGCCATGAAGCTTTTGTTAATCCCCCTTAGCTACCAGTAACTGAAATTTTCTCTAAAATCTCATCGCAAATTTTTGTACTCATAGTATTTAGCCAAACCCAGCTTATTTTATATTTATTTGTGTTCTTGTTTTGTCCTTTCTTTTTTGCTATTTGTCTTTGAGTATGAGAATTATGTTTATTCATTTTGATACTCCACATAATTTCTAGCACAGTATCTTCTACATGATTATTCAAATAAAGAGGTGAAACAGACTAGGGCCCAAATGAATAGTGTGCTTTTTTAATACCACTTTTGAATTTTCAATGGAAATTTTTAGCATCTACTTCCAGTTTGTCAGGTTTTGAAAGAGAGTGTGAGCATCAAGAACAGGAAGTAGCACTGTATGTAATCTGCTTTCTCCATTTCCTAGCTTTGTGATTTTAGGCAAATTATTTAATTGCCCTAAATCCAGTTTTCACATCTGAAGAAAATGGTGTCAGTTTCATTAGAGTGTTATGTAGAATAGATGACATACATGCAATGTGCTTAAAGCTGGTGCCTGCCACACAGTAAGTGGTTAGTGTTAGCTGCTATTATTATTCTAACAGAGTTTGAAAAGGATGTGGGAGAGGCTTCCTCTGACCACCTCTAATTTCACAAGGAGGAGAGAGAATCAAGATAACATCTACAGCCCAAGGCAGTTTCCTATGAGGTGGAGGTCAGACTTGCTACCCTCTAGTGCCTAAGGCACTTGACTGCTAACAGAAGGCTGGCGGTTCAAACCCACCAGCCACTCCTCGGAAGTTGTTGTTGTTGTTTGCCGTCAAGTCGGCCCCGACTCATAGCGACCCCTCCTTGGGTTTCCCAGGCAGTATCACTACGGAAGTAGGATTGCCCAACCTTCCTTCCGAGGAGTGGCTGGTGGGTTTGAACCGCCAGCCTTCTGGTGAGCAGTCAAGTGCCTTAGCCACTATGCTACCAGAGCTCCTGTTGGGCAATCCTACTTCTGTAGTGATACTGCCTCGGACACCCAAGGAGGGGTCTCTATGAGTCAGGGCTGACTCGATGGCACAAAACAACAACAACAACAACAACATAACCTCTTTACCAGCTGTTTTGGTTACCTAGTGCTGCTCTGACAGGAATATACCACAAAGGGGATGGCTTTAACAAACGAGAGTTTATTCTCTTACAGTTTGGAGGCTTAAAGTCTGAGTTCAAAGTGCCAGGCCCTAGGGGCTGGGTGAAAGCTCCTTAACCTTGGGCGTCAGCTCTGCCTCCTGCTCCCAGCCCTAAAGCTAGAGTCTTTTCTTCACTCCGACAGCTGCTGGCTGCTTAGGCCGCCAAACCAAAGGTTGATAAGTGAAAAGGCACAGTCCCGATGTTATCAAACAACACAGGCAGGCCATTGATTCAAGTCTATTGAAAGTCCTGAGGTTGCCAGAGTATGGCAGGCTGCTGAACAACTACATGACTACCCCCAGCCAAGTTGACAACAACCTTAATACCTCACCAGCCCTCCCACAGCATCCTCTGCTTCTCTGCTGGATTCAATAATTCGTTTCAATGGCCACACAGAACTCACAGAAAATACTCAAGAATATGGGGTTTATTAGGGAAGTTACACGTTACAATTTAGGATCAGAAATGACTCAGAATACAGTTCTTCAATCAAGACAGCTTCTTTTCAGCCATTCTGTAGGCACACCTCTCTTTGCCCTTGGCCTTTGGGCCTGGCTGTTGCTCTGCTCAGGCAAGTGTTACAAAGCTCTTTTAGCTCTGCTACTAGGTGCCCTGGTAGCATAGTGGCTAAGGCACTTGACTGCTAACCAGAAGGCTGGCGGTTCAAACCCACCAGCCACTCCTCGGAAGGAAGGTTGGGCATTCCTACTTCCGTAGTGATACTGCCTCGGAAACCCAAGGAGGGGTCGCTATGAGTCGAGGCCGACTCGACGGCAAACAACAACAACAACTAGGTGCCCAGGAGTTCTGGTAGCATAGTGCCTGAGGCACTTGACTGCTAATCAGAAGGCTGGTGGTTCAAACCCACCAGCCACTCCTCGGAAGGAAAATTGGGCAATCTACTTCCATAGTGATACAGCCTCAGAAACCCAAGGAGGGGTCACTATGAGTCAGGGCTGACTCGATGGCACATAGCAACAACAACAACTAGGTGCCCAGAGCTCTTCTGGTGCAGTGCCTAAGGCATTTGTCTGCTAACCAAAAGGTTGGTGGTTCAAACCCACCAGCCATTCTGCAGAAGGATGACCAGAGATTTACTGCTTTGGAAACCCAATTCCCTATGAGTCAGAATTGACACAATGGCAGTGGGTTTGGTTTACTAGGTGCCCATGGTGGCAACCCACTCAGCCAGCAAGCCTCCTGCCTGAAAGCACTCAGCCCTCTCTGTAGGCCAGCAATCCTGCCACTCTGTCTTGTGCCGTTGGTTCTTCTGCTCTGCTGCTGCCACCTCTCTGCTGTCTCCTTGCCATCTCAGCACAGGGATCTTGGGTCCAAGGATGTACCCTACTCCCAGC